ATCAGATATAGTGAATGAGGGGTCCTGGAAGACCAGATATAGTGAATGCAGGGTCCTGGAAGACCAGATATAGTGAATGCGGGGTCCTGGGAGATCAGATATAGTGAATGCAGGGTCCTGGGAGACCAGACATAGTGAATGCGGGGTCCTGGGAGATCAGATATAGAGAATGAGGGGTCCTGGGAGATCAGATATAGAGAATGCGGGGTCCTGGGAGATCAGATATAGAGAATGCGGGGTCCTGGGAGATCAGATATAGAGAATGCGGGGTCCTGGGAGATCAGATATAGAGAATGCGGGGTCCTGGGAGATCAGATATAGAGAATGCGGGGTCCTGGGAGATCAGATATAGAGAATGCGGGGTCCTGGGAGATCAGATATAGAGAATGCAGGGTCCTGGGAGATCAGATATAGTGAATGCAGGGTCCGGGGAGACCAGATATAGTGAATGCGGGGTCCTGGGAGACCAGATACAGTGAATGCGGGGTCCTGGGAGACCAGATATAGTGAATGCAGGGTCCTGGGAGACCAGATATAGTGAATGCAGGGTCCTGGGAGACCAGATATAGTGAATGCGGGGTCCGGGGAGATCAGATATAGTGAATGCGGGGTCCGGGGAGATCAGATATAGTGAATGCGGGGTCCTGGGAGATCAGATATAGTGAAGGCAGGGTCCTGGGACATCAGATATAGTGAAGGCAGGGTCCTGGGAGATCAGATATAGTGAATGCAGGGTCCAGGGAGACCAGATACAGTGAATGCAGGGTCCTGGGAGACCAGATACAGTGAATGCAGGGTCCTGGGAGATCAGATATAGTGAATGCAGGGTCCTGGGAGATCAGATATAGTGAATGCAGGGTCCGGGGAGACCAGATATAGTGAATGCAGGGTCCTGGGAGATTAGATATAGTGAATGCGGGGTCCTGGGAGATCAGATATAGTGAATGCAGGGTCCTGGGACATCAGATATAGTGAATGCGGAGTCCGGGGAGACCAGATATAGTGAATGCGGGGTCCTGGGAGACCAGATATAGTGAATGCGGGGTCCTGGGAGACCAGATATAGTGAATGCAGGGTCCTGGGAGAACAGATATAGTGAATGCAGGGTCCTGGGAGACCAGATATAGTGAATGCAGGGTCCTGGGAGATCAGATATAGTGAATGCGGGGTCCTGGGACATCAGATATAGTGAATGCGGGGTCCTGGGAGATCAGATATAGTGAATGCGGGGTCCTGGGAGATCAGATATAGTGAATGCAGGGTCCTGGGACATCAGATATAGTGAATGCAGAGTCCTGGGAGACCAGATATAGTGAATGCGGGGTCCTGGGAGACCAGATACAGTGAATGCAGGGTCCTGGGAGACCAGATACAGTGAATGCCGGGTCCTGGGAGACCAGATACAGTGAATGCAGGGTCCTGGGAGATTAGATATAGTGAATGCGGGGTCCTGGGAGATCAGATATAGTGAAGGCGGGGTCCTGGGAGATCAGATATAGTGAAGGCAGGGTCCTGGGACATCAGATATAGTGAATGCGGGGTCCTGGGTTTAGTAACACTTTAACAACTGAAGTTGTAAAACACATGCAGTAACCCATGCAACCAATCAGAAATCCATTTACTGTAGCCAGGTCATTGAAAAAATTGACTTTTATTGGCTGCTATGGGTACATTATTTTGCACTTTCCTGCTTGCGTTTTTGTTATTGAACAAACTTGTTTGCGTCCCCTCACCTCCAGCCTTCTGGAAGGAACCCCTGCAGAGCCCAAATGAAGTATGCCAATGTAGGATGTGACAAACAATGCAATGTACATTTCTGTACAGAACAAATGACGGTTTTAAAACATCTAAGGCACCATAAGGGTCGGGATGAGGGAAAGGCAGAAGAGGCAACAGCCTTGACTGCTCTAGCGGGAAGGGGACGCAAAGAGAGCTGGAAATGCAGCCGATACTGCTAAAGTAATTCACAGCTAACAGGGAAGAAGAAGAATAGGGTGGCGGCTTGTTTGGGGGGGATGGAGTGGTTGCGGTGAGAGTCGCACTTTGACCTTTTTGCTTTGGGTGCTAAAAAGGATCTTGTCCTGACACAGGAAACCTCTGACGTGTTATAAAATATTATCTGCTATCTACACACATCTCCAGACAGAGGGGTTCAAGGTACAAGGTTCTAGCAAAGAAAACCTGAACACCTGAAGAAGGACTCGTCAATAAAAATGGCAAACTGACTTGGGACACAAAGCATCACAGAACTGCAGAATTAGGTACGCAAAATGGGATTTATGCAGTGATCAGTTATAGGGTGGGGGAAGGGGTGGGAAGAAGGTGGAGGCCTGCAGATGTGAGCACATGGCTTGCTGCCGCCATGTTTGTTGATGGCGAGATGACCATCAAGGCCGCACAATGGTAATGCTGTTTTGTTTGAGTGAACTGCTGAGAAATTAGAGGACCTGTAAAGATCTTTTGAGAGGAAGATTGAAATCAATCTTGGCGAGGATTGCCAGCTCCATTATCTGCAAAATATTCATCACCCATTTGAGTTGCGTATATTGACCGGTGTGCTTCGGTCTAAATTTCTGGTAAGAGGTTGAACCATTGGGGTGTTTTGGTGATGGTGGATCGTGGGAACTTCGCTTGGGACATTTTAATTGGAATTTTTTTTTATTAATTGGACTTTATGATTATAGGTTTTTGATTAGCGCCGCAATTTTATATTTTTTATTACTTATATTGCCTGATATGCCAGCTGCTTTTCTTTGATTTTTATTTTATGTTTTGTAGTTATATGACCAGAGTATTTACCCAAGCGCAGGTTTATTGCTTTTAAAACATTGTGTAAATATCTGGTGATTCTTTCTGTCCATTTCAGATACAGCCTACTGGTTTCATTCTGATCGCACAAGGCATGGAAGCCGCTCCATCCCAGAACATTCAGTTTGCGCCTTGTCATCCAGCCCTGGAAATACAGGATACTGTGCGGACCCACATCATGCCTGTACTCCTGTGTTCAGATTCCTACTGATATGCACCCCCCCAAACAAGCCAGCACACTGCCGTAGGTATGGAGTATCTAGGAATGTCAATCAACCCCTGCTGCAACACCACAGTATTGAAGCCAGATACAGCCAGGTAACTAGCAGTGGCAGCTCCTAACCCTCTTGTATTGAACTGTATTGTTGCTGTATTGTCTCCCGTTATATTGTAAAGCGCTGAGCAAACTGTTGGCGCGATATAAATCCTGTATAATAATAATAATAATAATAAGTGGATTCACAATATAAAACAGAAATGCTTTGGTCGAGCAGGAAGCCATTAGTGGCACAACACTGAGTTTTCATTGACTGAAGCAGCTGAACTTTCGTCATCTGTTAACCACTTGCGGTCCGCCTGCTGTTTATAAACGGCAGGACGGTGGCACTCCAGGGGCGGATTGCCGTTCATAAACGTCAGCCGCATTTTCTAGTTGTGCGCGCTCCCTGGGAGCACGCAGCATCGCAATTTGGTGCCTGCCGTTTCCTCCGGACACAGTGGAACACCAATCGTTGCACGGGACCTCTGTACAAGGTCCCGATCATGTGATCACTCATTGGCCAATCAGTGATCACATGCAGAGTAGTAAGCAAGATGTCACTTGTACCATCATTGCTTACTACGTGTGAAATCTGTGAATGATCACAGAGGTCACATGGTACAAGGCTATTCACAACAGCCTTGTACCATGTGACACGCTGTGACCAATCACAGCTCACACAGTAGTTCTCAATGGCTGCAAGAATGCAGCTAGAGAGAAGGAGAAATGATTGCTTTTACAGCCTTTATGTGTGTAAAAGCAATCAGTGTAAAAAAAAAAAAAAAAAAAACTTCATCACCCCCCACAAGTAGTACAGTGTCACTATGGTGACACTGTACTGTTAGGGTGACAGTATGTAAAAAAAAAAAAAACACATAAATAATATAAAAATAATAAAAGGTTAAAAAAAAAAAAAGGTTTAAAAATTATAAATTTTTGGTTATAAACGAATTTGGTTTTTTTTTTTTTTTTTTTTACTAAAAAGGACAAACAGAATACATTTTGGCCAAGATTTATGATGAAATACTATTTGCAAAATTTTATAAGAAAAACACTTTTTTTCAAAATTTTTGGACTTTTTCATTTACATAGCAAAAAAAATAAAAATCCCAGTGGTGAATAAATACCACCAAAATAAAGCTTTACCTGTCTCAAAAAAATGCAAAAAAATTAATATGGGTACAGTGTTGCATGACCGCGCAATTGTCATTCAAAATGTGATCGTGCTGAAAGCTGAAAATTGGCCTGGCAGGAAGGGGGTGAAAGTGTCCGGACTGGAAGTGGTTAATAAAAGGAAACACTGTTCCAGCTTGAAAACCAAAAATTACAGTTGAACTACACTCAAAAAAATTTTTTTGCATTCGTCGTTCCTCCCCGCTCGTTCTAAAAGAATTGGTTGATGTTCTCTTATAAATAAAAAATGTTTACTACCTTTTTTTGGTGCTGAACTGGCCTAGTCAGTATGACATCATTCCCTACTGCCTCCTGGGATTCTCCAAAATCGAATGCAGGGCGCAAGCGTGCTGCAAGATTGTGTGTGTGCAGAGATGTACCATCGGTGTTTCAGGTATGGTAGAGACCTGTACAGGGGCAGACTGACAACTCATGGGGCCCCTGGGCAATAGGGGATCATGGGGCCCCTGTGTCCTTATCCAAACTCAAAAAAGTCTATGAAAAAAGGTACCAGGGGCATCTCATGGGGCCCCCTACTGACCCCGCGCCCTCGGGCAGTGCCCGAGTTTCCAAATGGTCAGTCCGCCCTGGACCTGTAATACATCTGCACATACACGGGGCATTTTAACAAGTCACAAAGCCCCATGATGTTTGTTGAGACCAATGCAGCACATCCACACAACTAGTGAAAATGTTCTGCATGTGTGCAGATGTGCTGCTGGAATATCTGAAAAGAAAAACATTTTTTTTTTTTGCTCACCTTCTACAACATCGATCATACAGAGTCCCAGCAAACTTGGCACAAGATTAGCAGCTGCAGTGTGTACGGCGATGGCACCACCCATGCTGTGTCCAATGAGCATAATAGGAGGGGGCAGATCCCCGTATAAGACTTCCACCACATTCCCGATGTCCCTGTTCAAACACAATGAGAAAATTAATAAAAGTGTTTGTTTAGAAAACAGAAAAAAAACAAATGTATCGCATGTCAGCTAAATGTTACTTAGGCAAAGCTTAAAGTGTTACTAAACCCACAACAGTACAATCAGTCTGTATATGCAGTAAAGCATGCTTGTTATACTCACTGTGGAGCCTAAGGGGTTAATCCACTGCATTGTGGAAAAAGGCTGTTTGATCCTGACTTCTCTGCCCCTCCACTTGTTCAAATGTCCACCTGATGATACACTGAACCCGTAGCACATGCTCAGTTTGGTTTGTATTGTTTTTTTTTCTTTAGAGAGTGCATGTGATCAGCACAGGGCCAATCAGCACTGTTCAAAGGTCAGGGGTTCTGCATCCTCCTAGAACAGAAAGAAAACTCCTCCTACAAGCTTTACCAGTGCTCTACTGAAGTCACAAGACTGCTCTAACTGCTGATGAGAAAAAGGTATTTAGCAGTTGATCATATTTACTAAAATAATTGCATTTCCATGTTGTGTGTACTGTGGGAGAACAGATATAGTGGATGCGGGGTCCGGGGTGTAGTAACACTTTACAACCCAACCTACTCTTTTGGGGGTTTTTTTTTTGTTATTTGGCTGTACTGGTACCACAAGAAGACTCTAAAAGGCTCCTACGTAATAACATGCAAGTGATAGGTTCTCTTTAAAAGGAGACATCACAATACCACTATAAATTGCTTAGAATAATAAAAATAATAATATACAGTACCCCACAGAAGTGAGTCCACCCCTCACATTTTTGTAAATATTTAAATCTATCTTTTCATGTGACAACACAGCAGAAATGACACTTTGCTACAATGTGACGTAGTCAGTGTACAGCTTGTATAACATGTAAATTTGCTGTCCCCTCAAAATAACTCAACACACAGCCATTAATGTCTAAACCGCTGGCAACAAAAGTGAGTCCACCCCTAAGTGACAAGGTCCAAATTGGGCCCAAAGTGTCAATATTTTGGGTGGCCGCCATTATTTTCCAGCACAGCCTTAACCCTCTTGGGCATGGAGGTCACCGGAGCTTCACAGGTTCCCACTGGAGTCCTCTTCCACTTTTCCATGATGACATCACGGAGCTGGTGGATGTTAGAGACCTTGCGCTCCTCCACCTTCCGTTTGAGGATGCCCCACAGATGCTCAATAGGGTTTAGGTCTGGAGACATGCTTGGCCAGCCCATCACCTTTACCCTCAGCTTGTTTAACAAGGCAGTGGTGGTCTTGGAGGTGTGTTTGGGGTCGTTATTATGTTGGAATACTGCCCTGCAGCCCAGTCTCCGAAGGGAGGGGATCATACTCTGCTTCAGTATGTCACAGTACACGTTGGCATTCATGGTTCCCTCAATGAACTGTAGCTCCCCAGTGCTGGTAGCACTCACGCAGCCCCAGACCATGACACTCCCACCACCATGATTGACTGTAGGCAAGACACACTTGTCTTTGTACTCCTCACCTGGTTGCCGCCACACACGCCTGACACCATCTGAACCAAATCAGTTTACCTTGGTCTCATCAGACCACAGAACATGAGGTGCCATGTTGAACTTCCAGTGACCAGTATGAGAGAGAGAGCGATAACACCAAATTTAACACACCCGCTCCCCATTCACACCTGAGACCTTGTAACACTAACGAGTCACATGACACCGGGGAGGTAAAATGGCTAATTGGGTCCAATTTGGACATTTTCACTTAGGGGTGGACTCACTTTTGTTGCCAGCAGTTTAGACATGAATGGCTGTGCGTTGAGTTATTTTGAGGGGACAGCAAATTTACATGTTATACAAGCTGTACACTGACTACGTCACATTGTAGCAAAGTGTCATTTCTTCAGTGTTGTCACATGAAAGGATAGAATAAAAATATTTACAAAAATGTGAGGGGTGGACTCACTTCTGGGAGATACTGTATATCTAAATAGAAAAAAAAATTCCAATATACGAAGTGGTATCCAAGAGTTTCAAGACTAGTTTTGTAACACGCAACAGACTGCAGCACAAGGCTCCACGCACAGTCACAGAAAGCACCAACCGTCTTCAGTCAGTGTGCCAAAAGACAATCGCACTGTGTACATTAGGAGCTGTGCAACTGGTGGTATTCTGACCATGTGCGTTATCATGTCCGCCATTTAATCATGGACAGCAAGTTAGAACAAAGAGCAAACATGAAATTCTGTGCAAAACTGGCCAAATCTGCCACAGAGACATTTGACATGATTTGTCACGTTTACAGTGAAGCTGCAATAAGTCGTTTGAGGTGTTATGAGTGGCACGGACACTTTAAGAGCGGAAGAACATCACTGAAAGAAGACGAGAGATCAGAAAGACAATCAACGAGCTCAACCCCCAAAAAGTTCGAAACCATTCGGCAACTTGTACATGCTGATCGTCGGAGAACAATCCACAACATTGCTGCCATTGTTGGTGTGTCATATGGATCAGTCAATGAGATCCTAACGTGTGATTTGAACATGCGCCATGTTGCTGCCAAGTTAGTCTCCAGGCTACGATAATTCCACTTCCACACCCATCCTACTCGTCTGATTTGGCTCCTGCAGACTTTGCCCTCTTCACGAAGATCCAGCTCAAAGGTCACCGTTTTGAGAACAATGCGGAGATCCAGCGTGAATAGCAGAAGCTGCTTGCCATGTTTTGAAAAGAAGACTTCCAGGACACATTCCAGCAGTGGCAGGAACACTGGGAGCCCTGCATTGCTGTGCAAGGGGACTATTTTAACCTCCCTGGCGGTATTCCTGAGTGTAGCTCGGGGTAAGTTTCAGCACCACAAACGGTAACCCCGAGCTACACTCGGGAATACCTTTCAGCACTGCTCCGGGATTACTTCTGTACTTACCTTGTCCTGCGCACCCGCAATGTCCCCCCTGCAGCGTCCCCGGCCATCTCCTCCGGCCGATGCCGGCATCTGTCTTCCGGGTTCTGTCCCCTGCAACGTCGGGACGTACGGGGGACGGAACTGGCGGGAAATTTGAAAATGCCAAAAAGTGACATTCACTAAATCACATAGTATAACATTCCTGTATCAAACCATTTCACATACATTTTGTCCCGAGTGCTTTGTCCTGCGCCCTGCCTGCATTTTTACTGTTCTGTCTGGAAACTGAGAAACGTCCATGGCGTCCAAAAAGTGTCCGTTTATGTCAAAAGCGGTATTAGACCGGCTAGAGAACAGCGATAGTAAATTAGAACCACTTGCAGAATTGAGTGATAATGATTCGTGGGGGAAATTCTTCAGACACTGAAAACGATTCTGCGACTTTGCTCAGTGATGTGCGAACTTGGCGCTCCATTTCAAATTTCAGTGATTTTGGTTTGATTACATTATTGAATTAAATTTATTATATTATTTTTTTATGATTATTTATTAAATTATAATTTATGTTTTTGTGTTTCAAATTTGATCCTACCCGGGATGTTTACTAGACTCTTGATCGGACAGATTTCAGTGAGTTATTCCTAAAAATTACAGGCTTACAATAAAAAAAACAACATTTCCATGCAAAAAAATGTACCGCTTTGAGCACAGAAATACTGACATAATCAGACCGCTAGGGAGGTTAAAGGTGGTAGTATATAAAAGTATCATAAATAACATAGCTAGTGCAGCACAAAAAAATAAAAAAAAAGCTAATAATTCATGAAAAAATATAGCAGCAAAGTACAGATAATAGAGTCCATATATAGAACCAGATCACCAGCACAGATGGACAGATCACGATGTGTCATACATGTGACAAAGTATTCATTCAGGTGTTAAAGGTGCTTGATCCCGTCACCATATATAATCATGGCTGCTCAGCTTATGGATATGACCCCGGAACTAACAGGATGGTCATAGAACGCCTTTCCCATAAAGATTGTAAACATGAAAAGGCAATGCCACTGGTCCAGGCAAATGTTTCCTCAGATGCATCAAAGTGTACTGAATGAAATCAAGGGGAACAAAGAGCACATTGTGATCTGACCATCCATTCTGGTGGTCTGGTTCTATGTATGGACTCTGTTAGATGTACTTTGCGGCTATAATATTTTTTCATGAATTATTCGCTTTTCTATTTTTATGCGCTGCACTGGTAATATAATTTAAGAGAAGCTTTGCGGTATTGTGAAATTTGCTTTAAAGTGTTCAGCTTGCAATTTGTAAGTTTGAGAAAATTTGTTTTGATTGCGCGGCTTTGTTTTTTTTATATTCATAATGCGTAAATGTAGCTAAAGTATGTATACGTTTTGATACCACCTCGTTTATCTCATCATTTGTAGATGTTATAACTTTCAGACAAGCCAATCAATATACACTTATTGGGATTTTTTTTTTTTTTTTTTAACCAAAGACATGTAGCAGAATACATTTTGGCCTAAGTTTATGAAGAAATAACATTTTTTAAACATTTTTATGGATAGGTTTTGTTTTATAACAGAAAGTAACAAATATTGGGTTTTTTTTTTCCCAATTTTGTGGTCTTTTTTTAGTTACATATAGTTACATAGTTTGTCTGGCTGAAAAAAGACAAAAGTCCATCCAGTTCAACCATAGAAAAAAAAAAAAAAAGTATACTCCTATACCCACAGTTGATCCAGAGGAAGGCAAAAAACCCAGCAAAGCACAATCCAATTTGCTTCTGCTGGGGAAAAAAAAATTCCTTCCTGATCCCCCCGAGAGGCAATCGGATATTCCCTGGATCAACTTTACCTATAAAATGTTATATCCAGTTATATTCTGTGTATCCAAGAAAGAATCCAGGACTTTTTTTAAAGAAATCCACTGAGCTGCCACAACCAACTCTTGAGGGAGTCTATTCCACATTTCCACAGCTCTCACTGTGAAGAAACCTTTCTGTGTTTGGAGATTAAATCTCTTTTCCTCCAGATGTAAAGAGTGCCCCCTTGTCCTTTGTGTTGACCTCAGGGTGACTAGCTCTACACCGAGTTCACTCTGTGAACCACTATATTTTTTATATAATAAAGTTAAAAACCCAGCAGTGATCAAATACCACCAAAAGAAAGCTAAATTGTTGTGTGAAAAAAAAATTCTATAAAATTTCATTTGGGTACAGCGCTGCATGACCACACAATTACCAGTTAAAGTACTGCAGTGCTAAATGGCAAAAAATCTTCTGGTGCTGCTCAAGTGGTTAAAACTTCATTTCTTACTGGAAAATATCTGTGAAACGTGCCTCGTGTTCTGCTTGAAGCTCAACTCCAAGCACAAAAACCTTAATTTAAAATGTACTGTATTTCTAAATAGCCACAAAAGATTAAAAAAACGGTAACTGTGTGGTCATGCAGCGCTGTACCCAAATGAAATTTATATATTTTTTTTTAAATTTTGGTTTCTTTTAGTGCAGTGGTTCTCAACCTGGGGGTCGCGACCCCTTTGGGGGTCGAATGGCCCTTTCACAGGGGTCCTAAGACCATTGGGAAAACACATATTTCCGATGTGTAATCTACAGTGTTGAAAGCAGCTACTGTGTTGAAAGCAGCTACTGTGTAGAAACCAGCTACTGTGTAGAAAGCAGCTACTGTGTTGAAAGCAGCTACTGTTTGAAAGCAGCTACTGTGTAGAAAGTAGAAAGCAGCTACTGTGTAGAAAGCAGCTACTGTGTAGAAAGCAGCTACTGTGTTAGAAAGCAGCTACTGTGTTGAAAGCAGCTACTGTGTTGAAAGCAGCTACTGTGTTGAAAGCAGCTACTGTGTTGAAAGCAGCTACTGTGTTGAAAGCAGCTACTGTGTTGAAAGCAACTGTGTTGAAAGCAGCTACTGTGTTGAAAGCAGCTACTGTGTTGAAAGCAGCTACTGTGTTGTAAGCAGCAGTATTGGAGGTAAAACGACACTCATGAATTATAATTACTGGGTAAAGAATTTTATGGTTGGGGGTCACCACAACATGAGGAACTGTATTAAAGGGTCGCGGCATTAGGAAGGTTGAGAACCACTGTTTTAGTGGTATTTGATCACCACTGGGTTTTTAAATTTTTTCGTATATAAAACTAAAAAAAGACCACAAAAGTGTAAAAAAAAAAAAAAACACAATATTTGTTACTTTGTTATAAAACAAAACCTATCCATAAAATTTTTTTTAAAAATGGCATTTCTTCATAAACATAGGCCAAAATGTTTTCTGCTACATGTCTTTGGTTAAAAAAAAAAAAAAAAAAAAAAAATCCCAATAGGTGTATATTGGTTTGGTTTGTCTGAAATTTTGTATACAAAGGCCTATACAAACCCAGTTACTACCTTGTAAAAGTAGAAGTGACATAATCACTGTGCTGTACATATAGCAGCCCAGAATACTCCACCCACCATAACTGCCTGCAGAAAACTACAGGAGGGGGCGGAGAGACAAGACCAGTCACCCTGCACATGGAGAGAGGGCAGCCACCACTGGTCTTTATTACAGGAATATCCTGCACAGAGGAAAAAGGTTTCACACTGGATTACTGTACAAATATGGAAGAAATACACAAAGCACACAGATATTCAAGGAAGAATACATGTGCCTCTCAGTATTTGCTTATGTCGAATATGGTCCCTTCCATGGTCAGCCTTGCTGTAGGGTGAAATAGGAGCCGTCACAGCTACATATCCCAGTGGTCACTCTTCCAATGCAGGTCAGAAACCAATAACAAACATCCCACAAGCATTTGGCAGCTTGAATAAAACCAGCATTTCCCCTTCTTAGGCCCCATGTACACGGGACACTTCTGAAAGATGGAAACTGTTTAGCCGCGTTTGCATAATGTGTTTATGTGCGTTTGCGTTTAGAAGCGTTTTTTAAAGAGAAGCACAGGAGAACCTCCCAAATGCCCAGAATGCATTGAAAAGTGGTCAATTATTAACTATTTCAGACTGTTTCAGAGAAATACAGAGAGTAGAAGCAGAGATAGCAGTATGTGTTGAGATTAGCTTAGGTGTGAGTTGCTCATTAACATTTCTTTTGTTTCCAAGGGTGGGAAAGGTGTCTGGTGGAGGGAGTTATTAACCATTAGCCGCCCGGCCAATGGCCGTTTGGCGGCTTGAAAAGCGCTGCAGCTTTCCGGGTGCACGTCATTTGGCGTGCTCCCGCACATGCGCGGTTTGCGCGGTTGCAGAGCGACGCAGCAGTGCAATCTGTCACCGCCCGTGCACCTCGGACACGGCCGATGACAGATCCGAGTACCGGCTCCCGTTGCCGGTACCATGTGACCTGCTGTGACCAATCACAGCAGGTCACATGACAGTTGTATACAATGGATGGCTTCATTCATGATGCCATCCATTGTATACTAGTGCCTAGCTGTGAATGGTCACAGCAGGTCACATGCACATGTCATGTGATTAGCTGTGACCAAATCACAGCTAAGCACAAAAAAAAAAAAAAAAAAAAGCTGAATGAATCGATTTCATTTAGGTAAATGCTTGCTTATAGCAAAGTAATTCTTTGCTATAAGCAAATTGTAAAAAAAAAAAAAAAAAAAAAAAAAAAAAAAAAATACTGATCACTTCCCCAAAGTAGTACAGTGTTACTATGGTAACATTGTACTATTTTGGTCATAGTAAAATATGAGAAAAAATCTTAAAAAAAAATTAAAAAAATGTAATAAAAAATTGAATATAATAAAAAAATTTAAAAAAATTTAAAAAAAATATATATATTTTTTTTTCATACTGTCACCAGTCAGTGTCGCTGTTCACCGCCATGCCAGTTATATGATGACGCTGTACTGCACTGGTGATAGTATGAAAAAAAAAAATAGTGAAAATAATTTTTTTAATTTTTTCATTTTCCGAAAAATTATGACAAAAAAATACAACTTCAAAAAACTCGCCATGCCTCTTATGAAGTACGTCGGACTGTCTACTCTGCAAAAAGGGGTCATTTGGGGGATATCTGTACTGTTCTGACATTTGGGGGATATCTGTACTGTTCTGACATTCTTGGACCTCAAGATATTAGATTGGCTGTCAGTACTTCAGGATTGATCAATATTCAGATCTATACCATAGTTTGTGAACTCTATAACTTTCCTACAAACTAAAAAATACATCCTAATTTGGGTTATTTTCACCAAAGACATGTAGCAGAATACATCTCGGCCTAAATGTATGAACAATAATTATTTAATTGTAAACTTTTATAACAGAAACAAAAAGAAAAATGTGTTTTTTTTTTTTCAAAATTTTTGGTCTTTTTTTGTTAATTTAGCAAAAAAATAAAAACCCCAGCGGTGATTAAATACCACCAAAAGAAAGCTCTAGTTGTGTGAAGAAAATGATCAAATTTTAGTTTGGGTACAATGTTGTATGACCGCGCAATTGTCATTCAAAGTGTGAGAGCGCTGAAACCTGAAAACTGGCCTGGGCAGGAAGGTGTAAAATTGCCCGGTATTGAAATGGTTAAGGTTACCTGGCAGGGGGTCTTCTTGAGGAATTTGAGGTGTGAATGGTCATTAACATATCTTTTGTTTCCAAGGGTGGGAGAGGTCTGAGGTGTGAATTGGTCATTACAATGTGTGACAAGCTCGGTAGGAACATCCTGTTTTCAGTGTTTTGTCCATTTGAGTACCTTGAAAACGCTTTGCATGCATTTTTCATGATGAAAAAAGGCTCTGGAAAGCAACGAGAGCTAGAAGAGTTCAAAAATTTTTTTTAGAAGCAAACGCTTATAAACGAGATTTGTCGCATTTTGCGCTTGAAACACTGATAAAATCGACTGCTGAACACAAGTTTTCTGCATTCAAAAAAAGACTGTAAACTCAAACACCTGTAAACGAAGATGTGTACATGGACACATAGGAAACCATTAGGGAGCGTTCAGGGGCTGGTGAAAAAAAACGCTGAAACGCTCCTAAACGTCAGTCTATCAGCTGCAGTGTACATGAGCCCTTAAATAAATCCATAAGACCCAATAGGAGAAACGAAAACTGAAGGAAAAATGGCTAGTGGCCACAGCAACCAACTTGGTACAACAGAGTATTATAGAGGAACCCAGGCACCTACTTTGCCATAGTTTCTGCGGAAAGATCTTCAGGGTTCCGAACTTTTGTTTCGCCTACAAAGAACAACAAAGAAAACAAGTGAGCGCATTTCTCATTCCCTGATTCACATAATGTGTAAGGTGCTGCTGTATGGAGTCAGCTGTGGTTCATCATCTATGGATCTGTAGTCACATTTAAAAGACTGAAATCTCATTTACACTGTCAGGTCAGCCATGATGTGGCAAGCATCGTTCGAAAAACTGCAGCCAGGAGACCAGGGCATCCACCATCAGGAACCCTATACAAAACAGTGACAGGCTGACAGAGGCCACAGCTGTCCCCCAGTAATCAGACGTAATCACACGTGGACTGATTACCTGTGCTTAGGTACACAGAAGATCGTTGCTGGACACAAGCTACTTGCACCCAGGGAAATTAATCTTTCCATAACCACAGGTAACCAAGCCGTGCGCAATTATATTCGATGAAAACTGATGGACAGATATTATTGTCATTGCCTTGTACAGGCGTCCCACCATCTGCAGCTGGGAGCCCATGTGTGTGCAGGCAGCCATTTTCCGCAAGATACTTGCTGCACCACAGCCGATTTGGCCATGTGAATGAGGCCTTAGTCTACCAAAAGCTGATTTGTGTTTCTGATAGATACCAGAGAGTTCAACCCCCTGCTGGTTTTATCATGGTTCAGGTTTACTCTGCCCCGTGGTGTCATGTTTCCCTTGACTGTCATATGCCTTTAAGTTTTCTTTGTATTTTATCTCTGCTCCTCCCTTTCCTTTGGTTTAGCTCTGCTGTAGAGATAGCCCACCCCCTCTCCCAGAAATCCATTTCAGCTTCAAGCCTCATGTCTTGAAGCAGGTCACATTATGATCTTTTGACCTATCCGATTTTCATTGTTGTAAGATTCTCTCAGTTTATGGAATAAACTTCACAAGATCTACAAGGTGTCATCTGATCGAGTCACTGCCTGTGTTATTCAACTAAGATTGGAGTTATCGCTATCTCATCACAACTGTAAGTTACAGAGATCACACTTTCAATGCTTAGATTGGAGAGACAGAACACATGGTATTCTGCTATGTTTTTCCTGGCATCCTTCTAAAACAACAATTCAGTTTAGCCAGTCTTGCTGGCAGACAGGTTAGCCTGGTCTGGTACATCCACTGCAGTTACAGAAAGACCTCACACCCATCCCTAGCTTGCCGATTGGACAATAAAGGAGAATCACCATCCTGATAATGTCATCCCCCTGCTCTTTCCTTTGATAGCCGTTTTAACTGCTGCACACTGTGACTGGATTCTAGTGTTGTCCCTGTGCCTCTCCCAGAGGTTTTTTGTTCAAGGGATTACAGAAAGTGCTGCATTCAAAAAAATATATACACAGGCGTACCTCGGTTTACGTAATTTTTAGTTTACGAATGAAAATCCATTGAAAATAAAGCCTCGGTTTACAAATTTCTTTTTGCAATACGAAGCATTTATAGCACCAGCCCCAAGCCTTTAAAGTGCACTTTATAAAGAGTTTTGAACAGCTAAGACTTTTTTCTGATTTTCTGACCTCTGGAACGGATTAATTGGTTTTCAATGCATTCACAAATTCATTTTTAATCATGTCCCTGTACAGTATTTATGCCTTTAAAGTGCACTTTATAAAGAGTTTTGAACAGGTAAGACTTTTTTCTGATTTTCTGACTTCCGGAACGGATTAATTGGTTTTCAATGTATTTACAAATTAATTTTTAATCATGTTCCCTGCACAGACTTTATAAAGTGCACTTTAAAGGCATAAATACTGTGCAGGGACATGATTAAAAATTAATTCTTAAATAGATTGAAAACCAATTAATCTGTTGCGGAGGTCAGAAAATCAGAAAAAAGTAAAAAAAAGAAGTCTTATCTGTTCAAAACGCTTTATAAAGTGCACTTTAAAGGCATAAATAGTTTTGAACAGGGATTTTCTGATGGAATAAAAATTAATTAGTTTTCAATGCATTTACGAATTAATTTTTAATCATTTTATGCCTTTAAAGTGCACTTTATAAAGAGTTTTGAACAGCTAAACTTTCTTTTCACTTTTTTCTGATTTTCTGACAAAATTAAAAAGGTATTTACAAATTATTTTTAATCAAAACTACTTTATATGCACTTTAAAGGCATATTTACTGTGCTGGGGACATCTCCCCGATTAAAAAAATTAATTCTTAAATAGATTGAAACCCCCAATGAATCCGTTCCGGAGGTCAGAAAATCAAAAAGTAAAAAAAAAGAAGTCTTCCTGTTCATCCCCCTCTTTATAAAGTGCACTTTAAAGGCATAAATACTGTACAGGGACATGATTAAAAATTAGTTCGTAAATAGATTGAAAACCAATTAGTCCATTCCGGAGGTTAAAAAAAAAATCAAAAAAAGTAAAAAAAGAAGTCTTATCTGTTCAAAACTATTTATGCCTTATACTATTTATGTCCCCGCTGGGGACATCTCCCCGAACCCTGGCCCCTCACCACCTCACCCCCCCCCTCCAGGGACCCCCCTGCTCCCGCCAGCAGCCGCAACCCCCTCAACCTCATACCTGTGTCTCCCCGCATCCATCCCCCCTCTCTCGATTGCACTTCTGAACGCCCGTTCGGTCTGCAACAAACTAACTGCCATTCATGACCTCTTTATCTCCCGCTCCCTCAACCTCCTAGCCCATCACCGAAACCTGGGTACAGGCCACTGACTCTACCTCCCCTGCGGCACTCTCCCATGGAGGTCTCGTCTGGTCCCATTCACCAAGACTGAGCGATCACAAAGGTGGTGGGTCGGCCTTGCTCCTATCCCCTCTGAGCACCTTCCAGGTCCTCCCTAACCCCCCCTCCCCTATCCTTCTCCTTCGAGGCTCACTGCATCCGGCTCTTCTCACCCACCCCCCTAAGGATTGCAGTGATCTACAGGCCCCCCGGATCCATACCCCGCTTCCTGGATGACTTCGCCGCCTGGCTTCCCTTCTTCCTCTCCTCTGAGCTACCGACCATCATCCTCGGGGACTTCAACATCCCCATCAACGACAACACCCCAGCTACCTCCCAACTCCTCCACCTAACCTCCTCCTTCGCGCTCACACAATACACTCAATCCTCCACCTACATCAGTGGGAACACCCTGGACCTCGTCTTCTCCCACCTCTGTACCCTCAACCATTTCACTAACACCCCCTTCCCTCTCTCCGACCACCACCTCCTCACGTTCTCCACCTCCCCTAACCTCCCCCCACCCCCCCCCCCCCCCCTGCGCCAAACCATCACCAGCCGCAACCTCCGCAACCTGCACCCGGCCCCCCTCCACTCGGCTGCCGACCGCTTACATGACAGCATCCTTCCACTGTCATGTCCTGACCTAGCCACCACCGCGTACAACGACTCACTATCAGCTACCCTAGACTCTCTGGCACCCCTAACCACATGCAACATCAAACCCAGACCGCTTCAACCATGGCAGAACGACCATACTAAATGCCTCAAACGTCGCAGTCGCGCGCTGGAGAGACTATGGCGCAAAACCAAGTCCCCTCTTGCGTTCTCCCTCTACAAATCTGCCTTCCTCACCTACACCTCCTCCCTCCACGCCGCCAAGCAGGCCTACTTCGTTAACCTGATCAACACCCTCTCCACCTGCCCTCACCGACTCTTCTCCACCTTCAACTCCCTGCTCTCTCCCCCCCCCTCCTCCACTCAGTACCTCACTTTCCGCCCACGAGATTGCCATTCATCTCCACAACAAGATTGACGCAATCCGCAAGGACATAGTCAACTTGCAATCTACCTCCCCATCTAGCCTCCCCCCTTCCATCACCCCCTCATCTCTCCCCTCCTCTGACCTCGCAACGGCGCTGCCCCCCACCACACCCAAGGCCCTGCCTACCATAACCCCCCCAGCACTGCACTCCTTCAGCCCTACTACCACTGAGGAAGTTACCAGAGTCTTCTCAGAAGCCCTCATCCGCTCCCTCACCCACATCTTCAATCTCTCCCTCTCTACTGGCGTATTTCCCTCCCCCCTAAAACAACATGCGCACATCACCCCCATACTCAAAAAGCCCTCCCTGGACCCCACTGACCTCAACAACCTCAGACCAATTTCCCTGCTGCCACTCACCTCCAAGCTCCTTGAGCGCTTGGTCTACGATCGCCTAAGCGCCCACCTAACTGACAGCAACCTCCTTGATCCACTTCAGTCCGGCTTCCGTCCCCTACACTCCACCGAAACTGCCCTCCTCAAAATCACCAACGACCTACTAACCGCCAAAGCCAAAGGCGACTACTCTGTCCTCCTTCTCCTAGACCTCTCCGCGGCCTTTGACACAGTCGACCACCCCCTCCTCCTTAATAAACTACTCTCCCTTGGCATCAGAGACACCGCTCTCTCTTGGTTCTCGTCCTACCTATCCCGACGCTCCTTCAGCGTTTCCTACAACGGTGCCACCTCCCCTTCCCTCCCCCTCTCTGTTGGGGTCCCCCAGGGCTCGGTCCTTGGACCCCTTCTCTTCTCCATCTACACCTCCTCCCTTGGCAACCTCATACACTCCCATGGCTTCAACTACCACCTCTACGCTGATGATACTCAAATCTACCTATCCACCCCTCACCTCACCCCCACTTTCTCCACCCGCATCACTCGCCTCCTAAACGACATCTCTGACTGGATGTCACTCCATTTCCTCAAGCTTAACCTCTCCAAAACCGAGCTTCTCGTCTTCCCCCCCAGCCTGCGCCCCCCCATCCTTTCCATCACTACCAACAACACCACCATCAATCCCGCCCCGCAAGCCAAGGTCCTTGGCGTCATTCTGGACTCAAACCTTTCCTTTCAACCTCATGTCAAATCACTTACAAACACATGCAGGCTCCACCTCCGCAACATCACCAAGATACGCTCCTTCCTCACCCCAGACACCACTAAACTACTCGTACACTCCCTGATTATCTCACGCCTCGACTACTGCGGCTCCCTCCTCACCGGCCTACCCCAGTGCAGGCTCTCCCCGCTTCAGACCATCCTGAACTCAGCGGCCAGACTCATCCACCTCACCAGCCGCTCCACCTCTGCCACCCCCCTCTGCCTCTCCCTCCACTGGCTCCCCATTGCCCAACGCATTAAATTCAAACTGCTCACTCTGACCTATAAGGCCATTCACAACACTGCCCCCCTAACTACCTCACCAACCTGAGGTACCACCCTACCCGTACCCTTCGCTCTTCACAGGACCTCCTTCTATCTTGCTCCCTGGTCTCCTCCTCCCACGCACGACTGCAAGACTTCTCCAGGTCCTCCCCCATCCTCTGGAACTCACTACCCCAATCCATCAGACTGTCACCTTCCCTCCTCACCTTCAGGCGCTCCCTGAAAACCCACCTCTTCAGGGAAGCCTACCCCACCCTCACCTAACAGCCGCTGCCCTTCCCTCCTCCTACCACTCCATCCCCCACAGCCACTTCCTCCTGTACCACTACCCCCTCCCTCCTAGATTGTAAGCTCGAAAGAGTAGGGCCCTCTTACCCCTTGTGTGCTGTTTGTTGTTACTGTACTGTTTCATGTATTGTCCCCCCTCTATTGTACAGCGCTGAGCAAACCCTTTGGCGCTATATAAACTCGATATAATAATAATATAATAATGCCTTTAAAGTGCAGTTTATAAAGAGTTTTGAACAAATTAGACTTCTTTTTTTACTTTTTTTTGATTTTCTGACCTCCTGAACGGATTAATTGGTTTTCAATGCATTGCTATGGGAAATCGCGTTTTGGTTGATGAATTTTTCGCAATTTGAAACTTCCTGCAGAACGAATCAAATTCGTAAACCGAGGTACGCCAGTATAATGTTTCTTTATAAGGTAAAACATTAAAGTGCAAAAAATAAAATAAATAACTGCCTGGAATCCAACATTAACATTTGGTTCCAATGTGGTATAAAAGTTTCTGAATATACACCGAACCCAGGGAGGGGCAGGCAACCTCACCAATGCAGCTGTGGTGAAACTACAAGACTTTGGACAATACCTATGGCTGGTCTTGCAGTGCCTCATGGGACTTGTAGTTCCACAACTGATGGAGTTCCTACTCCTCCTAGACTAACCTATGACTGACCGTGGCAAGCACAAGCCCACACACCGCTATTCTAAACTGCTTTTAAGTAACTTTATTAGAACAAGTGGACAAACTTCATCACTGGCCGTCTATGACTGACTGTGGCATGGGTTCCAAACTCTTACTTATGCAATTCCATTTTTTTGTGTAAAAAAAAGCCTATGTGCAAAAAAACTGTATACGATTGGCATATTGTTTGCCTGAGTCTTTAGCATGAATGACTAAAAGTGCGTTCCTGATGTCATACATACCATGTCCTCTCTGGTCTAGTGCCACAATTCTGCACTTAATCCGGCTGATAATGGACGTCTACAGGGAGAGAAATGACAGATAAGTCGGGCACATGTGCAAGGATTACAGCAGGCATATAAAACCCAAATGGAACTGAAGTCCACAAACTGTAAAAAAATACATCAAACAGTAACATTTCCACAATTTAGTCCTCATTCACACTTGAAATTTGATAACGCGCGGTAATGTTAGCTGTGTAAAGTCACATTAAAAATGTGTTTTTCAGCGGTTTTTTTTTTTGTAACCAAAAAAAAAGTTATTTTTTGGTATAAAAAAAAAAGTCCAAAACGCCGGTTTGCAGCGTTTTTTTACCGCATTTTTCAGCATAAGAGCATTTTTAGAGCTAAAAAACCTCTCTAGAAAAACGCTGATTACAGTCTGTGTGCGCATGGACACATAGTTACGTAGTTAGTCTGGCTGAAAAAAGACAAAAGTCCATCCAGTTCAGCCATATGGACACATAGGATAACATGCTGAGGGGTTTACTAGCTGTAGAAAAAAAATGTCAAAAGCCAAAAACAGCCGCTGTAAAAATGTCAAGTGTGCATGAGGACTGAAAAAAAAAAAAAAAAAAAAAAAACCCACACTGAAGTATATCTTAATTTAATTTTAATTTTAGTATATCTTCGCTTTATTTTAATTTTTAATGCAGTGTCTCCACTGGGGCGGGGGGTTGTCACCGTCTCGATTTTTACTGGGGACCATAGTTCCTGCGAAAGAAAATGAGAGGAAAATCCATGGTTTTGGCGTTGTTCCCAGATCAAAATAAATAGTAATAGGAAATCTTCCAATGGGGAAACCTAGAGAAGAATTACCCTGTGGAAATTTTCCTCTAATTTCCTGCTGCACCTCTAAGGGCTCATGTACACTGCAGCTCCTAAACTGACGGTCAGGAGCTGTTGAGCATTTTTTTCAGCAGCCCCTGAACTCTCCTTTATGTCTTCCTATGTGTCTATGTACACATCGTCCTTTACAGTCAGTTGAGTTTACAGTCGTTTTTTTTTTTTTTTGAACGCACCAAACTTGCGTTCAGAAGTAGATTTTACCGGCGTTTCAAATGCCAAACGCTTGTAAATGCGGTTAACCGCGTTTATAAGTGTTTTTTTAACTGTTCCATGTCCAGTTGCTGCCCAGAGCCTTTTTTTCATCATCAGAAATGCATGCAGAGCTTTTTCCATGTATTCAAATGGACCCGGTACACCAGCGCAGTCAGTTCCAGGTTTCGCGTGAAGGATAAAATGGTAGAATGTGCTGCATTATGCTCATGATGGGATCCATAGTGAATACAACCAGAAAAGACAGGTCATCTCAACACATACTGCTCTCTCTGCTTCTGCTCTCTCTATTTCTCTCAAAATGTCTGAAATTGTTAATTTTTTACTATTTTTCAGTACATTCTGGGCATTTGGGAAGGTCTCCTGAGGTTATCTTTTAAAAACGCTTCTAAAACTCAAACGCACATAAACGCGGTATGCAAACGCAGCTAAACTGACGTTTTTTTTAACCTACGTTTTCCAGCAATCAGTTTCCATCGTTCAGAAGAGTTTTCCAAATGCCCCGTGTACATAAGCCCCAAGACAGGAAATTAAATTTTCTCAATGGTAAATAGATGGCACATAAAATACCTTGGCAGGAGTGTTACCCTTCCCAACTGGGGAAATTTTTCTTTATTTCCTGCTTCAGGGACACAGCAGAAGGTTAATGGAAATCCCCCAAAGTTGGGGGAAGTCCCTCTTAGACCAATGTCACTGGAACAAGCATCCCTTTCAGAAGATTTCCCCTCACCTCTTTTGGTTACAATGCTAAAAATTTGGATTTCCCTTCACTTTTTGTTTACATAACAATTTACAACCCAGTCACATCAAAGCCGATTTCGAAATTACGCGACTTACAGTGAAGTCGCACGATTTCAAAATTTGGTGACTTGCCGATTTTGTTGCGATTTGCAAGACATCTGACACAGATGTCTATGCAAAGGTGCACCAAAAGTAGTGCATGCACTGCTTTAGAAATCAGTGCGGCTCCGACCAAGTCAGAACCGCACCGATATGACCACTCTAATAGTGGACAATAGGGTGCGACTTGGCATTCAATTTGCAAGTCGCCTGGCTTGCAAATCGCACCAATGTGACTGGGGGCTAAAAACCCCCCTCCAACTGTTTTTTTCCAGTACCTTCCGCCCTGCCAACCCAAAACAACCCCTCCCCCCCAAACCTATTCCAACAGTTTTTTATACCCCTCTTACCTGGTGAACACTGAACACAGTGAACACTCACCCAAGTAGTCCATCCAGGTCCCTCACTGCTGCTGGATTCCACTGATCCAGCGTTGTGATGACATCCTGAGATATAACCGTTCTCCTGCCAGCCCCAGTGATGAAGTTTCCGTCCCCTTCTCTTAACTGAGAAGACCCCACTGGTGGCCATCCAATTAGAATTACCAAAGAAAGAGCTGGCTCAGCCACCTCACCCAGTTCAATAGATGAGAGACACCGGTGCACTGGCATGAGCCAACCAATATTCAATCTCTCAAAAAGAAGCTGACACTGTAAAAATCTTCCATATACAGTATATGGACACACAGGGCCTAAGTCCAACAGAAAAGCCACACTGGTCTTCAAGTTCCTGAGAGGACCCCACTGGCAGCCATCCTACTGGAAGTGTCCATGTGTCACAAGCTGTGACGAGGATGCATGAATGAAGGACCCTTCCAGGAAGTAAACAGAAGAGAAGACGCAGTCCAGCGAAGCTTTTTTTATTTTTACGTTTTACTAAATGGATCAGTTGGAGGAGGGTGGGAGGGAGGAGTGGACAGGGGGTGAAAAGGATCCTTGAGTGGGGCTTTGGGACTTTAAAGTGATAAATAAAACCTATACATAGCCACACATTTTTACGCACTAAGTGGCACAAATGCTTGTGTGAACAGGGTCCCTGTCAGGGGCAGACTGACAACTCATGGGGCCCCCAGGCAATAGGGGATCATGGGGCCCCTGTGTCCTTGCGCAAACTCAAAAAGCCAATGAAAAAGATACCAGGGGCATCTCATGGGGCCCCCTACTGACCACGGGCCCTCGGGCAGTGCCCGAGTTTCCAAATGACCAGTCCGCCCCTGGTCCCTGTGCATTAGGAAGTAGAAATAGAACTGTGAGGTACTTCAACGACCCTGAGAAAAAAAAAAAAAATCAGATCCCTCATTGAGCGGGTCAACCTCTCTCTCTATATATATATATATATATATATATATATATATATATATATATATATATTTATATTTATCTCTTATATGCATCTATCCCATTATACCTTGTGCCCACCGAAAAAAATACTTTATACCCCATTTAATGCAACACAATGGGATTGACTTACTAACACTGGAGCGTGAAAAATCTGGTGCAGTCTTCACAGAAACCAATCAGCTTCCAGGTTTTTTTTTCTGACAGATTAACTGAACAAGCTGAAGTTAGAAGCGGACTGGCTACCATTCAGAGCTACATCAGCTTCCAACTACCGCTTTTTAAAATTTTTTCTTAATATAAATCTGAGTGTACATCCACCATAATAAAATTCTAACTGATAATATGTATGCTTTTCTAATGGTCAGCTTACTATACATATCATCACCTATGTTTACAATGCCTGTAGGCATCACTTGTTAGGGGCTCTTTCACACGGGTGGCAAGGTCTATCACTCTGAAAAGCATTCTTTAGTTTCTGCCAGTTTTCAGGAGGTGATCCTACCGCCTCCTAAATGCCTGTTTTCTTTTAGGAAGGCTTTTTTTTTTTTTCAATCCCAAGAGTATTTTGAATTGGAATATCATTCCACAACCACGAGCCGAGCATTTGGATTGCAGCTGGAGCACACGCTCCCATTTGATCTTAATGGGCATCTCCGACAGGCAAGAAGAGTTAAGATTGCTGTGGCTGCTAAGAAAAGCATCATTGCCATGGAATGTGTACAGCAGAGTTGCTCAACATTTTGAAAAGCGAGGGCCACTCAACTTATTTGGTAACTGGTCTCGGGCCACAATGAAATGAAATGTTCAGAATTTTTTTTTTTTTTTTGAATAGCATAATGAACATTTTCCTCCTGTGGCCACTGAATGGGAGGGAAGGAGAAGGTGGTATTACTCCACCAAGGACAGGACCCGAAGCTACAGAAGAAGCATTAGCTTATGTGGCTCATGCTCGCTTTACGGCCGCCCGTTTCCTCTGCTGCAAGTTTGATGCACTCTGATGCTCTGGGATGGCGGGTAGGCAAGCCCAGATTGCGATCAATGGGTTGCCGTCCCCAGGCATGCGCTTCACTAGTTTGAGGTCGAGGGCCACATCAGAGGGCTCTGAGGGCCACAGGTTGAGCACCCCCTGGTGTACAGCATAGTCCGGATGAAAACGATAGAATTTAGGCTGTCAGTCAGTGGGCGGAAAAACTGTGGTGCAACCCACAGCTTTTAAACACCCCCAGGCTTTCCAAGTGAAAGAAGCTTTACATTTTTTTATTCTTAGTCTGTAACTGAAAAAACAAATTAAAAAAGTTTGTAAAAAGCAGAAACAGTAGAATGGTCAAGTGTGATCTAAAAAAACTATTTCCTCCAAAATTAGACATTTTTCATAGATGTGGTTCATGCTGTGCTGATCATGTGACCAAGGGCTTACCGTAAACACAGCCCAGGACAGGGCAGAGTGCCCTCCTCCATGTAGCAAAAGCAGCACTGGTCCCTCCGAGCCACTTTTGTAAATGCGAAAACTGTGTGAAATGTTAAGGAACAATGAGAGGAAAAAAGGTATGAAAAGTGATTAAACACTGCTCAAAAAAAATGAAAGGAACACTTTTTAATCAGAGTCTAGCATCAAGTCAATGATACTCCTGGGATATCAATCTGGTCAGTTAAGTAGCAGAGGGGGTTGTTAGTCAGTTTCAGCTGCTTTGGTATTAATGAAATTAACAACAGGTGCACTAGATGGGCAACAATGAGACAACCCCCACAATGGGAATGGTGTTACAGGTGGAGACCACTGACATTTTGTTCCCTACTCATCTTTTCTGACTATTTTTCATGAGTTTTGCACTTGCCTATGGTCAGTGTCACTACCGGTAGCATGAGGCCATACCTGGACTCTACAGAGGTTGCACGGGCAGTCCAACTCCTCCAGGATGGCACATCAATACGTGCCAATGCCAGAAGGTTTTCTGTGTCTCCCAGCAAAGTCTCAAGAGCATGGAGGAGATTCCAGGAGACAGGCAGTTACTCTAGGAGAGCTGGACAGGGCCGTAGAAGGTCCTTAACCCATCAGCAGGACCGGTATCTGCTCGTTTGTGCAAAGAGGAACAGGATGAGCACTGCCAGATCCGTGCAAAATGACCTCCAGCAGGCCACTGGTGTGAATGTCTCTGACCAAACAATCAGAAACAAACTTCATGTGTGACCTGAGGGCCTGTTGTCCTCTAGTGGGCTCTGTGCTCACTGCCCGGCACCATAGAGCTGGACTGGCATTTGCCATTGAACATCAGAATTGGCAGGTCCACCATTGGCGCCCTGTGCTTTTCACAGATGAGAGCAGGTTCACCCTGAGCACATGTGACAGACGTGAAAGGGTCTGGAGAAGCCGTGGAGAACGTTCTGCTGCCTGTAACATGTTCATCATGACCGTTTTGGTGGTGGGTCAGTGATGGTCTAGGGAGGCATATCCATGGAGGGACGCACAGACCTCTACAGGCTAGACAATGGTACCCTGACTGCCATTAGGTATCGGGATTAAATCCTTGGACCCATTGTCAGACCCCTATGCTGGTGCAGTGGGTCCTGGGTTGTCAGGCATGCATACAAGCACATGGGGGCCATACAAACTACTGAGGACCATTCTGAGTTGCTGCAATGACATTTCAGCAAAATGGACTCGCCTGCTACATCATTTTTTCACTTTGATTTTCGGGGTGTCTTTGAATTCCGTCCTCTGTAGGTTAATTATTTTCATTTCCATCAAATGATCAGGTATCCTTACGTTCCTAACACATTAACCCGTCCATGTCAGTATAGATATCCAGCAGGAGATTTTTCACCATTGAGATCTGATGTGTTTTCACAGTGATCCTTTAATTTTTTTGGGCAGTGTATAGTTAAAGTGAATTTGAAGCAATTGTTTTTGCAAAAAGCACACCTACACATTATACATGTGAGTGGAATATATCTTATTACAAAAAAATGCTTTTTATAAAAGGGTAAAGCACTATGTTCTGGCTATTTTTCTTGGCATATAAACTGACGGAGGAGGACAATCTGAGGAGTGAAAGGGAGCCTTAAATGATTTTTTAAATGTGTGCAAAAACCACCAAACTGGCTCTAGAAGTAAAAGGGATAAAAGGATAAGCTGGACACTCTCAGGGGCGGACTGACCATTTGGAAACTCGGGCACAGCCCGAGGTTCAGTAGGGGGCCCCATGAGATGCCCCTGGTACCTTTTTCATAGGCTTTTTTGAGTTTGGGCAAGGACACAGGGGCCCCATGATCCCCTATTGCCCGGGGGCCCCATGAGTTGTCAGTCCGCCCCTGGACACTCCCCTTTCCTAACAAGCACCCAATCGGTGCTCATTGCACTGCAAGGTCTCTCTCCTCCCTTCTAGCCCCCGGGTGTGGTGCTGGAGACAGGCAGGTAGGGGAGGAGATAAACAGCGTAATGTTAAAAATTTTAAACGTTTAAGTCTCCATAAAGCCCCTTTTGATTTTAAAAGCCCCAGACATTACTTAAAGAAGAGAGTGCAAAATCTGGTGCAGCTCTGCATAGAAACCAATCAGCTTCCAGGTTTTGTCAAAGCTTCATTGAACAAGCTAAAGTTAGAAGCCGATTGGCTACCATGCAGAACTACACCACATTCTGAGTGCCCCAGTATTTGTAAATCTCCCCACGTATGATTTTGAGCAGCCTGAAAAGTGTTACCTGATGACAGTGTCCCATAAAAGGATAAAATGACCTTATTACTTCCCCCCCCCCCCCCCCCCCCCCGACTTAAAAAGTAGAACTATAGGCAAAACTTTTTTTTTTTTTTCATTTTGGATAGAGCAAGGGAGGGTTATAACACCTGTCAGATTTATTTTTTGCCATGTGTCCCATTGCAGAGATTTCCCTTCACTTCCTCTCCTATAGCCAAACCAGGAAGTGAGAGGAAATCCCTGCAAATTAAGGGAATTCCTTGGGGACCCCCAGGTCACCAGAACTAGTGTCCCTAATACTGTTCTGAGGACAACCCAAAATTTGGGATTTTCTTTTACTTTCAACGAAAATGGTAAACAGGACAAATAGAGGGTGAATCTCCATAATGGGGACACAGAAAGCAAAAAAAACAAAAAAAAAAAAACCCAGAAAAACTTACAGACGTTGTAATCCCTCTCCACTCTATCCAAAGCTAAAAAAAAAACTAAAAACATGAACAAAAAAAAAAAAAAAACAGTTTTGCCTGTAGTAATACTTTAACCATACAAGGATCGCCCTATAGCGGATATACTGCTACAAGGCAGCCGCACTGTGCAAAATCACATATAAATGTGTGACTTTGCTTTTTCAGGTAGGGTGTGCGCATGCTGCCCTACCTGCGCTGTCATTGGCTCCCAGAGAAGTCAAATCATCAGGTCCCGGCCAGTGATTCAGTGATCGGCGGAGAAGCTGACAAAAGGAGAGATCTGTGTGTAAACACAGATCTCTCTTCTGTCAGCAGGGACATGCTTCTTTCCATCTCCCTGAAAAGCACAGAGATACAAAGTAACACGTCCCCTAGAAAAACAGCACACAGGTAGCACAAAACGGCACACTGTTAACCCTTTGATTGCTCCAGATGTCATTAGTACAGTGTCAGTGCTTTTTATTATCATCGATGACTGTATTAGTGTCACTGGAGATGTCAGTGGCAGTTAGTCAGTCCCCCCCCCCCCCCCAGTGTCAGAATGCCCGCCGCAGTCCCGCTATAAGTAGGTGATCAATGCCATTACTAGTATCAAGAAAAAAAAAATCCAGTATATGAACCGCCATAACTTTCACGGAAACCAATTAACATACACATATTTGGATTTTTTTTTTTTTTTTTAACAAAGACATGGAGCAGAATACATTTTGGCCTAAATTTATGAAGAAATTTGATTTTTAAATTTTTATTGGATATGTTTTATGACAGAAAGTAAACAATATTTTTTTACAATTTTTTTTTCAAAAACCCAGTGGTGATCAAATACCACAAGAAGGCTCTATTTGTGGGAAAAAAAAATTACATAAATTTCATTTGGGTGCAGCGTTGCATGTCCGTGCAATTGTCAATTAAAATTACGCAGCGCCGTATTGCAGAAAAATAGCCTGGTCATGAAGGGGGGGGGGGGGTAAATCTTCCAGATGGCAAGTGGTTAACCTAACCCACCTTCCCCCTCAACAGATGCATACTTACCTTGAACCCACATTTGTGGCCTCTGGTGTTCGCTCACATCTTGGTATCGCAGAAAAATAGCCTGGTCATGAAGGGGGGGGGGGGGGTAAATCTTCCAGATGGCAAGTGGTTAACCTAACCCACCTTCCCCCTCAACAGATGCATACTTACCTTGAACCCACATTTGTGGCCTCTGGTGTTCGCTCACATCTTGGTATCGCAGAAAAATAGCCTGGTCATGAAGCGGGGGGGTAAATCTTCCGGAGGGCAAGTAATTAACCTATCCCACCTTCCCCCTCACAGATGCATACTTACCTTGAACCAACATTTGTAGCATCTGGTGTTTGCTCACATCTTGGCCACGCCTGCGCAATACAGCCCCATAGACTTCTGTGGAACTGCCTGTCTTTGCCTCCAGCCTGGGAACATCGTCTTATAAAAATCAAAAAGGGGCTGTAATGCGCAGGCAGGATGTAAACTAACAAATGAGGTGGCGGCCATCAGATCAAGGTAAGTGTTCATTTGTTGAGGGGCAAGGAAAGTTAGGTTAGGTCACAAATTTAAGTATGCTTCTTTTAAAGTGCACTTATCTTTGAAGCCCATTTGCTAGGTGAATACGTCATAGTTCTATCATGAACACTGCTGCCAGACTCCTCCACCTCACTAACCGTTCTGTATCTGCCACCCCCCTCTGCCAATCCCTCCACTGGCTACCAGTTGCCCATTTAACTCTCCCTCAAATTACATCTTGTCTCTAAATATCACCCAAACCGTACATTCTGCTCCTCGCAAGACCTTACTCTCTCTAGTTCCCTTATCTCCTCCTCCCATGCTTGTCTCCAGGACTTCTCCAGGGCGTCACCCATTCTCTGGAACTCCCTACCCCAATCTATCAGACTACCACCTACTCTACTTGCCTTTAGGCAATCACTGAAAACCTCTCTCTTCAGGGAAGCCTATCCCGCCCTCTGCTAATTCTGGAATCCTCTACTCTTCCAACCACTCCATCCCCCACAGTTACTACCTACTGTACCATTCGCCCCTCCCTCCTAGATTGTAAGCTCCCAGGATCAGGGCCCTCAAATCCCTCTTGTATTGAACTGTATTGTTACTGTACTGTCTCCCACTATAATGTAAAGCGCTGAGCAAACCGTTGGCGCTATATAAATCCTGTATAATAATAAATAATAGAGGGAAGATCCAGGCAGGGTTTTTCTTCAAGCACATGGATCAATATAGTACATTGGTAATAAAATCCCAGGATGCATGTTGTGCTGCCTTTCTTTTGAAAATCTATCGGCTGCGGGAGAGTGGATGAGCTCCAGCACCCTGCAGTCGGACGGAGAAGTCAAAGGTGGAGTTTCATGCTGTTTTTCTTGGTTGGCATTGTACATTAGACATTATTTTTACATTACATTATTTGCTCTTTTTTGAACATGAGCCAAGACTTATCAATGATGGCTCCAGAAAAGGATATATCTTTCCCAGTTTCACTTTCCACCACCACATCTTCCATGGATTCAAAATACTGACTCCAGGGCACAGGGGAGAAGTCCCTTCTTCTTCCAGGCCTGAAAATATAGAAAATAGTTTTTGGGAGGGGAAAAAAAAAAAAAAAAAAAAAAAGGGAAGAAGAAGACACAGGTAACCAGAAAGAAAATATGAAAAAAGCCCACGCTCCCCCCCCCGGCTAGTCTGGGGATGTGATGTTGCTCAGTATTGGCATTCTCAGACCCCTGTTCTCGGTCTTATCTTTTTCCTTTTGTACTTCTCCTTCCTTTTCTGTTTGTTTTTTGGTGTGGCAGTGGATAGCTTCCTTTAGTTTGAGTTACTGTGGGTGTTATACTAATGTTTTTGTCATTTATGTGCCATTGATAGTCCCCGTGTGGGCGCACCTTTTGCTCTGTTGGTGTTAGAGCACTGTTTTTTTATGTGCAATTGATAGCCCCTGCGTGGGCGTGTTTTGTTGCTCCTGTCTTAACCGGTTTATAAAATTAATAAAACCATTGAAATACAAAAAAAAAAAAAAAAATGAAAAAAAAACAACTTTTTGATTTAAGCAAGCAGTGTCAAAAATGTAATCACCCATAATTAACTCCTTCCCAACCACAACCAGTTAATTATTGTTCCCTACAGGGCTTTTTTTTTTTTTTTTTTTTTTTTAAATATGGGACAGCGGGGGGATTGAAGTTTTGCCACCTCCGGCATCTAATCTATGTAATGGCAATGGGTGTTGGAGGATCTATTGTGTTGCGTGTGGGTCTACTGCTGCTAGGGAGTTCTATTTTCACTGATGGGGGGGGGGGGGGTCAGTTGTTGCTGGTGTGGGGGAGAGCTACTGTTGAGGGAGGGTCTATTGCTGCTGGCTGGGGGAGGGAAGTAGTGCGCCTCTTGCTGCTGGGGAAGGAGGTGCCTCTTGTTGTTGCTGGAGGGGGGGCCTTCTGCCACTGAAGAGGGGCCTCGGGCTACTGAGGGGGCAGCCTCTCTTGCTGCAGGGGATCTTTTTTACCACTTTTATTGTTATCATTAAAGGACAAGTTCAACTTTTGTAACATGTTGCGTTACACCCATATTCATGATGTAACGTGTTACGATCAGACTGTCCCCCACTCCCCACTTTGACAGCTAGAGGGGGATCTTCTCCCCCCTCCCTAGCTGGCAAATTTTTAAAAAAACCGTGGCCGTGCGGGGCTCCGCCCATACAGCCGCGTCACTCATTGACAGTCATTTTGTGAATGAGACTACATTCCAACGTCACTTCCCTTGAAGCGTTTCGTCACTTCCTTGACTTACTTATAAGACACCCCTTATGAGTAAGTCAAGGAAGTGACAAAACGCATCAAGGGACGTGACGTTGGACGTTGCCTGAAAAACCGGAAGTAGCGGAGCGGCCATCTTTAGTGTGGGAAACACAGTCTGGCGTTCCTGAAAGCTGCTAGAGGTTGGAGTCATGGGAATTTAATGCGAATGTGATATGATTTTAATGTAAGGAGATTTATTAAAGCGTGGATCTTTTATACCTTCATACATTTTGCACTATATGGCATTATTTCCCTCTATGGTTACTATGGTGGCAGTAATGAAGTGAACATTTAAGGGATCTGAAGGTATCCATGTGGATCATGCTGGTGTATATCCCTCTCTGGATTCTTATACTTATATAAAGCTTGCATACGTTTTGCATATGGTAAGGGTATGTAATTCAGCCACTTAGAGGTGTACACTGAATGTCACGGAGAAGTGTATATAATAGTGCACAGAGTGTTTCACTATCACTACAGGTGAAACTCAAAAAATTAGAATATCGTGCAAAAGTTCATTTATTTCAGTAATGCAACTTAAAAGGTGAAACTAATATATGAAATAAACTCATTACATGCAAAGCAAGATAGTTCAAGCCATGATTTGTCATCATTGTGATGATTATGGCTTACAGCTCATGAAAACCCCAAATCCACAATCTCAGAAAATGAGAAATATTGTGAAAAGGTGCAATATTCTCGGCTCAAAGTGTCCCACTCTAATCAGATAATTAAGCCATAACACCTGCAAAGGGTTCCTGAGCCTTTAAATGGTCTCTCAGTCTGGTTCAGTAGGAATCACAATCATGGGAAAGACTGCTGACCTGACAGTTGTGTAGAAAACCATCATTGACACCCTCCATAAGGAGGGAAAGCCTCAAAATGTCATTGCAAAAGAAGTTGGATGTTCCCAAAGTGCTGTATCAAAGCACATTAATAGAAAGTTATGTGGAAGAAAAAGGTGCACAAGCAGCAGGGATGACCGCAGCCTGCAGAGGATTGTCAGGAAAAGGCAGTTCAAAAGTGTTGGGGACTTTCACAAGGAGTGGACTGTTGACTCTTGTCAAGCCACTCCTGAACAACAAACGTCAGAAGCGTCTTACCTGGGCTAAAGAAATACAGACCTGGTCTGTTGCTCAGTGGTCCAAAGTCCTCTTTTCGGATGAGAGCAACTTTTGCATCTCATTTGGAAACCAAGGACCCAGAGTATGGAGGAAGAATGGAGAGGCCCAAGGACCCCGAGTATGGAGGAAGAATGGAGAGGCCCAAGGACCCTGAGTATGGAGGAAGAATGGAGATGCCCAAGGACCCAGAGTATGGAGGAAGAATGGAGAGGCCCAAAGGCCCAGAGTATGGAGGAAGAATGGAGAGGCCCAAGGGCCCCGAGTATGGAGGAAGAATGGAGAGGCACACACTGCAAGATGCTTGAAGTCCAGTGTGAAGTTTCCACAGTCTGTGTTGATTTGGGGAGCCATGTCATCTGCTGGTGTTGGTCCACTGTGCTTCATTAAGTCCAGGGTCAACGCAGCCGTCTACCAGGAGATTTTGGAGCACTTCATGCTTCCTTCTGCAGACGAGCTTTATGGGGATGCTGACTTCATTTTCCAGCAGGACTTGGCACCTGCCCACACTGCCAAAAGCACCAAAACCTGGTTCAATGACCGTGGGATTACTGTGCTTGATTGGCCAGCAAACTCGTCTGACCTGAACCCCATAGAGAATCTATGGGGCATTGCCAAGAGAAAGATGAGAGACATGAGACCGAACAATGCAGAAGAGCTGAAGGCCGCTATTGAAGCATCCTGTCTTCCATAACACCTCAGCAATGCCACAGGCTGATAGCTTCCATGCCACGCCGCATTGAGGCAGTAATTGCTGCAAAAGGGGCCCAAACCAAGTACTGAGTACATATGCATGCTTATACTTTTCAGAGGTCCGATATTGTTCTATGTACAATCCTTGTTTTATTGATTGCATGTAATATTCTCATTTTCTGAGATTGTGGATTTGGGGTTTTCATGAGCTGTAAGCCATAATCATCACAATTATGACAAATCACGGCTTGAACTATCTTGCTTTGCATGTAATGAGTCTATCTCATATATTAGTTTCAGCTTTTAAGTTGCATTACTGAAATAAATGAACTTTTGCACGATATTCTAATTTTTCGAGTTTCACCTGTAGTGTGGTCACGATTTGTGTGATTGGTGTACGAAATTAATAAGGAATTACTTTGGGTAATTATTTATAGAATAATAATTTTTGAGGATAATGCACTGAGTTTTCTTTTGTTTTGAGGTGCACGGCAATTATCGAAATTATACAGAGATTTCTTTCAGAAATTTGAGAAGGATTTATGGATTTTTTTGGGTGATTTTTTATATTGTTTATGGACACAAAAAAAGGTTTACTATATTGATACGGTGATTTTTTCAAGAGATTGCAAATCGTATTTATGGACTTTTCTGGGGGATTTTTCATGTTTTGCAGTGTTTATAAACACTAAAAAGGTTTATTATATTAATTTAGAACTTTGAACACAATTTTTTCAAATAGACATTTATTTATATACTCCATTCTCCATACACATATGCAGAAGAGAGACAACAACTGCATCTTCCTTGTTCACCTCCTCAAAGGTGACAACATACCCCATTCTCATTTTGGATCCAGACTGCAGACCACTGGGCATGGGTGGTCGAGGGGGCAATCGACCCAACTGGAGCTGTTTTTCCAAGGCAGACATGATTCCTAAAAGACAGGAGAAGACAAATAATTCTTCATTAAATCTTTATTCTACAAATAAGCATTTAATACAGTGTTTCCATTACAGTTCTGCAAAAGGAATTGGTTTTTTAATGAAAGCCCAGCAATAGCTTTTCACTTGTGGACGGCTCCATATGAGCAGAGTAAGGCTACAATTAGGCATGCGGCTGTTACTGCCATACCCCTGAAAAATGATCCATGTTGGATTGCTTTTCATAGGTGTCTGACGGGTGGCAAGGAGGCGATATGTTGTCTCCTCCCCACCTGTTTTAACCCTGTAAATGCACATGTTGTGGGACAGCTGTGGCCCCTCTCCGTTGAATGGGTTGTGTTTGTCAGTGGTACTACCATATACACATTATATACTCCCTATATACATCTCCCCTGTACACATATATACCTCCTATATAGTACCCCTCCCCCCTGTACGAAGCACACACACATAGTATATATAACCAATAAATATATACATTGGCCAAAACAATTAAAGGAACACTTTTTAATCAGAGTATAGCATCAAGTCAATTAAACTCCTGGGATATGGATCTGGTCAGGTAAGTAGCAGAGGGGGTTGTTAATCAGTTTCAGCTGCTTTGGTGTTAATGAAATGACCAACAGGTGCACTAGATGGGCAACAATGAGACGACCCCCAAAAGAGGAATGGTTTTACAGGTGGAGGCCACTGACATTTTTTCCCTACTCATGTTTCCTGACTGTTTTTACTCACTAGGTTTGCATTTGGCTAGGGTCAGTGTCACTACTGGTAGCATGAGGTGACACCTGGACCCTACAGAGGATGCACAGGCAGTTCAACTCCTCCAGGATGGCACAATTCCAGGAGACAGGTAGTTACTCTAGGAGAGCTGGACAGGGCCGTAGAAGGTCCTTAACTCATCAGCAGGACCGATATCTGCTCCTTTGTGCAAGGAGGAACAGGATGAGCACTGCAAAATGACCCCCAGCAGGCCACTGGTGTGAATGTCTCTGACCAAACAATCAGAAACAGACTTCATGAGGGTGGCCTGAGGGCCCGCATCCTCTAGTGGGCCCTGTGATCACTGCCCGGCACCATAGAGCTCAATTGGCATTTGCCATTGAACACCAGAATTGGCAGGTCCACCACTGGCGCCCTGTGCTTTTCACAGATGAGAGCAGGTTCACCCTGAGCACATGTGACAGACATGAAAGGGTCTGGAGAAGCCATGGAGAACGTTATGCTGCCTGTAACATCGTTCAGCATGACCGTTTTGGTGGTGGGTCAGTGATGGTCTGGGGAGGCATATCCATGGAGGGACGCACAGACCCTACAGGCTAGACAATGGCACCCTGACTGCCATTAGGTATCGGGATGAAATCCTTGGACCCATTGTCAGACCCTATGCTGGTGCAGTGGGTCCTGGGTTCCTCCTGGTGCACGACCATGCCTGGCCTCACGTGGCAAGAGTATGCAGGCAGTTGGAGGATAAAGAAATTGATACCACTGAATGGCCCCCACACTCACCTGACCTAAATCCAATAGGACACCTCTGAGAAATCATGTTTCAGTCCATCCGATGCCGCCAGGTTGCACCTCAGACTGTCCAGGAGCTCAGTGATGCCCTGGTCCAGATCTGGGAGGAGATACCCCAGGACACCATCCGTGGTCTCATTAGGAGCCTCCCCCGACATTGTCAGGCATGCATACAAGCACGTGGAGGCCATACAAACTACTGAGGACCATTCTGAGTTGCTGCAATTAAATTTCAGCAAAATGGACTCGCCTGCTGCATCATTTTTTCACTTTGATTTTCGGGGTGTCTTTGAATTCAGTCCTCTGTAGGTTGATAATTGTCATTTCCATCAAATGATGGGGAATCCTTACATTCCTAGCACATTACCCCGTCCATATCAGTATAGAGATCCAGCAGGAGATTTTTCCCCATTGAGATCTGATATGTTTACAAAGTTTTCCTTTCATTTTTTTTGAGAAGTATTTGTCAGAAAACCTTTACTTTCCTTCCAGAATCAATATTTTCTATAAATAATTCTTACAAAATACTCCAACAGATGCAGGCCATTGATTGCAAACAAGATTTGTTAATTAGCACACACAAAAAAGTATTTTTCCTTACAAATTTATTCAAAGACCATGTTGCAAAAATTAATACACCCCAATGAAAGTCTTTGGTGCAAAGCTAAATTTTAGACAAAATCCAAATACAAAAATCTAGCAAAAGTAGAACTGCAACCATCTCACAGAGATGTCCAGGCCGTCCATGCAAGTTAACACCTCGACAGGAGCATCTTCTGATGGGAAGGGTTAAAGGAAATTGCCATGGGAATTCACTGCAGTTAACTAAAGAAGTAGAAAACAAAACTGGGGTTTTTGTTTCCCGTGACACAAACCGGTGTACACTGCAGAGGAATGGCACGCATGGGTGTTTTCCACGAAGGAAGCCTCTCCTAAAGCCCACCTAGAATTTGCCAGGGACCATGCTGGAAAAAAAAAATAAGACTACTGAGACTCTGGAACGATGAGACCAAGATAAATGGTTTTTGAAACAGATGGTCGTAAAGGTGAGAAGTACAAATCAAAATGCATGGTGCCTACAGTGAAACATGGTGGTGGCAATGTCCTTCTGTGGGGTTGCATGAGTGCTGTTGGGTGTCACGGAGTATCATATCATTGATGGTGTCATAAATTCACAGATGTACTGCTCTATATGGAAAGAGAAGATTCTCCCATCACTCTGTGCTCTTGGTCGATGTGCAGTTTTCCAACATGACAATGATCCAAAACACACAGTATACACCCCCCCTCCTCCTGTATATACACACACAGGATACACCCCTCCTCCTGTATACACCCCCTCCTCCTGTATATACACACACAGTATATAGAGCCCTCCTTCTGTATACACACACAGTATATAGACACACACACATTCTTCTCCTATATACACCTGCTCCTACATATACATAGTATACCCCCACCCCATACACACACACAATATACACCTCCTCCTGTATACACACGCACACAGTATACACACCCCTCCCCTCCTGTATATACACAGTATATACAGCCCTCCTCCTGTATACACACACACAGTATATAGAGCCCTCCCCTCCTGTATACACACACAGTATATAGAGCCCTCCCCTCCTGTATACACACACACAGTATACACACCTCCCTCCCTCCTGTATACACACACACAGTATATAGAGCCCTCCTCCTATATACACACACACACAGTATATAGAGCCCTCCTCCTGTGTATACACACAGTATATACACCCCTCCCCTCCTGTATACACACACACAGTATATAGAGCCCTCCTCCTGTATACACACACACAGTATATAGAGCCCTCCTCCTGTATACACACACACAGTATATAGAGCCCTCCTCCTGTATACACACAGTATATAGAGCCCTCCTCCTGTGTATACACACAGTATATAGAGCCCTCCTCCTGTGTATACACACAGTATATAGAGCCCTCCTCCTGTGTATACACACAGTATATAGAGCCCTCCTCCTGTGTATATACACACAGTATATAGAGCCCTCCTCCTGTGTATACACACAGTATATAGAGCCCTCCTCCTGTGTATACACACAGTATATAGAGCCCTCCTCCTGTGTATACACACAGTATATAGAGCCCTCCTCCTGTGTATACACACAGTATATAGAGCCCTCCTCCTGTGTATACACACAGTATATAGAGCCCTCCTCCTGTGTATACACACAGTATATAGAGCCCTCCTCCTGTGTATACACACAGTATATAGAGCCCTCCTCCTGTGTATACACACAGTATATAGAGCCCTCCTCCTGTATATACACACAGTATATAGAGCCCTCCTCCTGTGTATACACACAGTATATAGAGCCCTCCTCCTGTGTATACACACAGTATATAGAGCCCTCCTCCTGTATACACACAGTATATAGAGCCCTCCTCCTGTATATACACACAGTATATAGAGCCCTCCCCCTACACACAGTATATAGAGCCCTCCTCCTGTGTATACACAGTATATAGAGCCCTCCTCCTGTGTATACCACTCCTCCTGTGTATACACACAGTATATAGAGCCCTCCTCCTGTATATACACACAGTATATAGAGCCCTCCTCCTCCTGTATATACACACACAGTATATAGAGCCCTCCTCCTGTATACACACACAGTATATAGAGCCCTCCTCCTGTATACACACACAGTATATAGAGCCCTCCTCCTGTATACACACAGTATATAGAGCCCTCCTCCTGTGTATATACACACAGTATATAGAGCCCTCCTCCTGTATATACACACAGTATATAGAGCCCTCCTCCTGTATACACACACACAGTATATAGAGCCCTCCTCCTGTATACACACACAGTATATAGAGCCCTCCTCCTGTATATACACACAGTATATAGAGCCCTCCTCCTGTATACACACACACAGTATATAGAGCCCTCCTCCTGTATACACACACAGTATATAGAGCCCTCCTCCTGTATACACACACAGTATATAGAGCCCTCCTCCTGTATACACACACACAGTATATAGAGCCCTCCTCCTGTGTATACACACAGTATATAGAGCCCTCCTCCTGTATACACACACAGTATATAGAGCCCTCCTCCTGTATACACACACAGTATATAGAGCCCTCCTCCTGTATACACACACAGTATATAGAGCCCTCCTCCTGTATACACACACACAGTATATAGAGCCCTCCTCCTGTATACACACACAGTATATAGAGCCCTCCTCCTGTGTATACACACAGTATATAGAGCCCTCCTCCTGTATACACACAGTATATATAGAGCCCTCCTCCTGTATACACACACAGTATATAGAGCCCTCCTCCTGTATACACACACACAGTATATAGAGCCCTCCTCCTGTATACACACAGTATATAGAGCCCTCCTCCTGTATACACACACAGTATATAGAGCCCTCCTCCTGTATACACACA